AGTTCTTGAGCAGGGGCAAGGCAGCAGGAGCAGACTCAAAGTCTAGGGCGGCCTGGGGAACAGGGGAGCTGTGGAGGGAGACTTCACATTTACACCTTTCCAGGCTGCCCCCTCAGGGTAGGGGGAGTCTGGGCACCATGGAAACCCTCCCATGGTCCCTCCCCGGCCCAGCTGGGTCTGTGGGGCCAGAGGACGACTGGGAGACTTTTCCAGGGAGCCTCTGATCCACTAGAAGGCACTCACCTGGGGCCTGGGAGGCAGCTGGCAAGTTGCAACCCTGCAATTAGCAGACAGAGGAGTCAGGTGGCAGGGAGGGGGCTAAAAGTTGCAGCTGGTTTCCCAGGCACTACCTCTGACTCCCATCCCCCCACCTACTCGCCTACAGGCCCCCAGGCAGACAAGGCATTGGGGTCTTGGGAGAGGATACAGAGCAATAGAGAAAGCCAGGAAAACATACTAACAGTAGAAGAGGTGCTACTTGGTGTGGACTTGGATACTCACTTGCCACCACTATGTCCATTTTGTTGTTACTAGGTGCCGACAAGTCAATTGCAACTCATAGAGCCCATTCTGATTCGTTTAGACAGGGTAGAATTATCCCACAGGGTTTTTTGGCTGTAATCTTTCTTTAATTTATTAGAGCTGCTGGGTAGGTTCAAACTGCCAACCTTTCGGTTAGCAGCTGAGTGCTTAACAGTTATGCCACCAGGGCTCCTGTACTCATTTAGCAGATGGGGAAACTAAAGGCCAGAGAGGGACAGGAGCGTGCCAGAAAATACACAGCCAGCCAGCAACCAGGCTCAGGCCAGCAGCCGGGTTTGTCTAAGGACTGGGATGTGGAAGGCTTATACCTGGGCATGGATTTCAAAGTAGGGAAGCCAAGGAGCTGCCTCGTGCCTTCAGGGTGGGCAAGACAACCTTGTCTGGATGGTGAGTGGAACCTGTGCTTCCAGACAGAGTCTGGGGGCTCCTTGGCCTTTACCCTGCAGGGGAAGAGAGGCTGGGTGGGGTGGTGTTTGACCCGGCCGGCTGTCCAGTCTGCCTGGGCACCGAGGCCTGTGAGGAGGGAGGGGCCCTGGCATCACTGCCCCTAGGCTGCTACAACTGCTCAAGGAGGAAGACTCAGCTGACCAGTAGAAAGGCTGGTCTAGGACCCGTTGGCAGGTACTTCATTTGGGGTAGAGGTGGTGGATCTGACAACTGCTTCCACCTTCCCACCCACCCACCTTCCCTTCTGTCCTCCCTCCCTCCCTCTGTTCTTCCTTCCAACAGTTGAAAATGCTACTATACTCAGGGCACTCTCCTGGCTGCTAGAAGATGCTCTGCCCTCCAGGAGCTGCTGGTGGGGCAAGAGCACCAAGCTGACAACTCACACTCTATCTAGAGTGAGCCAAGCAGGCTAAGCTTTGAAGGGCTGGTGGGACTTTAATGGGGAAAGGGCCATTCTGGGTAACTGATGAGACAGTCTGTAGAGATTGCAGTGGAGGACAGGGAGGAGACAGCCACATAGGGACGTGCTTTGCAGGGGCCAGCTGGGGTGGGGGTGGGGGTCATAAGCAGGAGTCTGGGTTCTGGCCTTAGATTGTCTGAACTGGAATCTTGACCTCCCGCTAACCAGCTTGTGACCTGGGGGTAGTTCTTTATTGCCTCTGAGTCTCTGGCCCTCAGTGTGAAATGGGGATGGCAGTCTCCACCTCCCAAGGCTGTTGGGAATAGTCAGTGAGATTCATGGGAGGCACAGGGTGTAGGGCAGTAAATGTTAACCGATCTGGGCAGTCACTGCTGTAGTGATGAGGAGCCTGGGCCAGGGGAGTGCCATGTGTCCTTGGCCTGACTCTCACAAACTCTGAGCAGCCAGCACCCCTCTTGTCAGTTTCCTCTCCTGCTCAGAGACACTGGACTAGGTCAGAGGGAAAAACCTCCAATACCTCCAGGGCCTGGGCAGAAAGAGAAATGAGTGAGGTGGACTCAGAGTCGGGCTGTAGGGAGTGGTGGGGACTGCAGTGCACTATGGTGCCTGGGCCCAATATCAGGGAACAGCTACCACTCAGCAGACTGTGGCCCATGGATTCTGATTTTTCAAGAGACAGAAATCCGTATTTTTATGGGAAGACCTCTTATTTTTTTAGTAATGCATTAATTTTTTTTTTTCCTAAGTATCATGTTAGCCAAGGCTAACACTGCTATTGGTAGATGCTGCCACCATGACCATGGCCACTGTGTGATTTTGCTGTAGGTAAAGGGGAGCCAGGGAGCTCTGGTAGCATAATGCCTAAGGCACTTGACTGCTAACCAGAAGGCTGGCAGTTCAAACCCACCAGCCACTCCTTGGAAGGAAGGTTGGGCAATCTACTTCTGTAGTGATACTGCCTCGGAAACCCAAGGAGGGGTCGCTATGAGTCGGGTCCAACTCAACAGCACATAACAACAACAACAACAAAGGGGAGCTATGGAAGGCCAGTGAGCAGGGAGGAGCGTGTATTCCAGGCCCAAGTCATCATCAAGCCCTGTGTCTGCGACTGTCCCTCTGCTCCTGAGACCTCGGTGTTCTCTTATCCAATGGATGTTGGAGGCTGGACACTGTCCTTTCTGACATTCTCAGGAGCTGGCCCCACCTGGAATGAGGCCCCTGCTTGACACTATCTCCCCAGAGGTGCCAGGGTGTCTGGGGAATAGCCATGCTGGATGAGGTCTGTTCTATGTCTGGGAATGTCAGCTCAGCCTCAGGCCTGGGAAGGAAGCTCTCACGCCTGCTGTCAGCAAAGGCCTGGCTCCTGAGGGTCAAAGGGCAGCATTTCAGCCTGTTCTGGGGGCACCTTCCTGTTTGGTAAAGAAGACAAAAAGACCCTTGGCAGGAAATGTCTTCTTCCCGAGGCCCTCTTCCGATGGCTCTGTGGTGAGGTGGGGTCCTCATGGTCGTGTCTCGCCTCCTCTTTCCTTATTCCATGCCCAGGAGGGGGACTGGGGCCTTGTTGCTGTGGCAGCAGACCCCACTATTACTAGTATTGTTCTAAGTGACAGGGAGTTTTCTGCACCCGTGTCCATTAGCCCCGGCTGGGCTCCTGAAGCTGCCTCTCCCCAGCTCCCACCCGTCAGCCTCAAGGCTTGTGACACCCACTGGGCCCTAAGACTAGCTTCAGAGGTCCCTGACGACTGGGCCACATAGAAGAAGTCACTTAGTGCAGCTCCTTTATCAACTGAATTTAGATTCTCTTTGGCACCAGGCTCCTGCTCAGAGCCTGGACCCTCCCTGTACACACCGGACATGGGTAAGTGGCCACCATTCCCACACTAGGACCATGCTAGCGCCTCCTTCTGCAGAAAGTGGCCCAGTGCTGATAACTCGCCTGAAGCATCTGATCAGAATGGTAAATGCCACCTCAACTTTGAAAAGTCAAAAATGCTGTTTTTATAACCATTTCCACCAGATTTAATATAAATCTGCTGGTTATAGAAGATTGACACATTAAATATAAAAAATAAAATATAATTTCACTCCAGGAGCTGGGGAAAAGATGAAAGGATTTAGTATTTATTGTCCATACCTGCCTCTGGGTAATTGTTCACCTGTCACCTGAACTGCATTCCCTCAGGCAGAACCCACCTAGCGAATCCCTCCTGTCCAGGGCATGCCTTCAGGTACTTTGACGAAGACTCAACTTTACTGGAGCTCTGGTGGCACCATGGTTAAAGCTGCTAACCCAAAAGTCAGAGGCTCGAATCCACTAGCAGTGGATGAGGCAGTCTGCTTCTGTAACGATTTACAGCCTTGGAAACTCTGTGGGGCAGTTCTGCCCTGTTCTATAGGGTCACTATGTCCTATGGAGTTAGAATCAACTCGATGGCTGTGGGTTTGGTTCTCATTTTGAACCTCTGTCAGGGAGGCAGTGGTGGTTCAGTGCTGGAACTCTTGCCTTCCATGCAGGAGACCCACATTCAATTCCCAGCCAGTGCCCCTCATGCACACCCACCGCCTGTCAGTGGGGGTTTGTGTGCTGTTAGGATGCTGAACCAGCTTCAGTGGTTTCCTGACTAAGATGGAGGAAGAAAGGCCTTGAGAGTCACCTCCAAAAATCAGCCAATAAAAACCCTACGGATCCCAGCAGTCCGATCCACAGCCAATCACGGGGCCAGTGCAGGACTGGGCGCTTCATTCCCTTGTGTATGGGGTCATATGAGTTGGGGGCAGACTTGATGGTAGCTAACAACCACCTTTACTAAACACCAGGATTAATTCAACTCATTGTCATGACATGACTCTGAGACATCAAACATGCGGGTGGAGAAAATGAGGCTCAGAGAGGGCAAGTAACTTTCCTAAGGTTGTGCAGGCAGAGCAGAGATTTGAATGCAGGTCATCAGGTGCCAGAGTCTGTGTGTCCTGAATTGAAGCATGCTGTTTTCCAGATCCGACGTGCCTGGTACTTGCTCCTCCCTCTCACACAGGAGCTGGTTCCCGACCATTCTGCAGCCCACACACCACTTATTCATTCCTTCTCACATGCATTCTTTTATTAAGTCGCTCCACATTCCTGCACCGCAGCTCAGCACCAGACACAAGTGACTGCTGTTCCCCCCTTACCCCCTGCCTGCCCCTGGCACTCTCAGGACTCCGCCTTGAGAACCTGAACTCCATTTATTACAAAACGCTGGGGTTGACACACTGTGTTAGGCACAGCCCCCCATCGCCATGCCCCCACTTCCTCAGAGGGCCCTGGGCGGGTAGGGCACCTGGACTGGGCCTTGGAGTGGTCCTGTGTTTATAACAGGCCCAAGCTCCCCAGGCACATATACATATAAATTGTATATAGTGTAGCTGTGGCTTCTTTTCCTCAGAGTGCTGGGGTGCAGCACTGCCAATGCCTATCCCGGGAGAGAAGGAAGTCGTCTGTGGCAGGGGCAGGATCTGTCCAGAGTGAGTGCGGGCAGCTGCCTCAGTTCCCAAGGGTGGTCAGCCTGGGTGTCGGGGCACCTGCGGCTGCAGCCCAGCCTTCGAAGTTCTAGGCCACCTGGATCTGCAGGTCCTCGTCCTCGTCCAGGTCACTGGCTCCGTCCCCGGCCTCCTCGGTTCCAAAGCGAGCACTGCGGATCTTCCCAAACAGAGGGGCGTTCTGCTGCTGCCTGCGGAGCCTGGGGGCAGGGAGTGGCAGAGGGGTTCAGAGCTGGAATCTAGCCCCACTGCCTCCCTGATGCGCTGCTGCTGCTGCCAGCAGCTACGCCTCCCCCAGCTAAACCTTTAACATACACCCCTTCATCTCACAGAATCCTCCAAGTAGCCCCTTAACTGGAGGAGGTGCTACTGTGAACCCACCTTACAGCTGGGGAAACCGAGGCACAAAAAGTTGGGTAATTTACCCAGCATCACACAGATAGATGATGGGAATAGGGCTGGGCTTTGAACTCAAGCAGCTGGTTCAGGAGTGGACTGGGGGCTTACGGAGAAGGCTCTGGTTCAAGGTCGCACTGCTGGGATCTGAACCCCAAGCCTGACTGTGAAGACCACAGGAAGCAGAGTGTGGGGCTGGAGGCGTGAGCCTCTTGTATTCCCAGCGTCAATGACAAAGTGCTCAGTCTCCCGAGGGCCCGAGTTCTTCCTCATGTTAAAATTCCTACAGTCGAAATTTACAAGGCACACTTGGGCTCTGAGAAGAGTCGGCAGCAGAAACTCTCATCCCCTCACACTTCCACAGAGTGGCCGCCCTCGCTGCACCTTTTTTTCATTTTCATTTTTTAAAATAATATTTTACTGTGTTTGAGGTGAAAGTTTACACAGCAAATTGGGTTCCCCTTGAACAATTTTTACACAAATTGTTCTGTGCTATTGGTTACAGTCCTGGCTGCATCTTACTGGAAGGGATGAATTATTCACAGGGCAGGGAGGGCCCAGGCGCGGGCCTGCATTACTGCATCATGATTTAGTGAGCTCTCCCCGGAACATTAAAGCACAAAAAGTTGGAGAATAAACTGGGGGCCCCGCCCTTCCTGACGGAAGCCCTTGAGAGGCTGAACAAGGCCTCCCTGTCCATTTTGGGAGTTTATGGCTCCCAAAGAATGCAACAGAGACTGGGGGGGGGAGCCTCGAGGCTAAGCAGCCTTTTGGGGGGGATGCACTGGAAGGCGGGAGGGGGCAGAACCAGACAGACAGAGAGCTTGACTTGCAGCCACGCCAGGCCCCTGCACACCACTCAGGCATCATCCCAGGCAGTTGCTACGACAACCCTGATTCAGCAGTTAGGGATACTGAGGCTCAGCTGGCCATGTCACACAGTTGTTAAGTCTGGCCCCAAAGCCCATGTGCATCACCACAGAATCTCAGTACACAGTCGACGTTCACTAGACGAGAGGCAGGTGGCAGATCACTGGGGAAGAGGGGGCGACCCTGCCTGGCATTCACCGTTTCGTCATGGAAGCACTTGTCCTCTTGTGCCTCAGTTTCCTCTTCTGCCAGCCCCCTAGACACAACACCCGGCCCTCCCCTTCTCTCATGGAAGGGGCATGAGGCCTGCAGCACAGTATGTGACACAGCTATTAGCCTCACCCCCCTAGGGGTGACTGTGGTGGAGGTAGAGGTCATGGTAGTGATGGTGATGGTGATGATGGCAGCAGCTGAGTGTTCTTCAGCATTTGTTATGTAACAAGTACTTTTATGAGCATGGATCAACTCATTTAATTCTCATATCATTCAAGAGGCAAGAACTATTACCAGTCCCATTTGACAGAAGAAGAACCTAAACCCTGATACAGACAGGTTAAGTAAGGGGCCTAAGAGCACACAGCTCCTAAGTGTAGAGCCAGGATTGCCCCCCACCAGGCAGTCTGGCTGCGGAGTCTGGGCTGGTTAGAGCACCCCTTGATTTCACCAAATGAGAGCATGCAGGTGAATGCTTGGCCAGGCCCTGGACAGAAGTGTCCGTCAGGCAGTGACTGTGATTCGTCCCAGGCTTCTGGAATGTGAAGTGGGGAGGGGCTTGGACTTGATGTCCTTTGACCTCTCCTAGCTATATGGGAGGGGGGGTACAGACAGCATAGGGCTTCACAAGACACTGAGGGAGAAACAGGGGAGGTAGGTGCAGTGTGTGGGTGAGAGGCCTCCAGCCACCCTCCCCAGTCCACCCTCACTGAGGCTGACTGGTCCTGTCTGCAGTGGAGATCTGGCCCCTTTAACCCCTCAGATCCCAATTGGCACCCCAGCCTGTGATTCTCGTCAATGACTCCTCAGACCTATTGGCCCTACCCACTGCCTGCATCCCTTGGGCCTGGCCTCTTTGTCTGTCCTTCCTGCCTTCGCATCACCCGCCCACCTGCCTGCTGGAGGAGACAATTCCAGGGCTCCCAGCTGCTCTGACTTCCTGCACCCTCCCCTTCTCTGATTTCCTGGTCCTTGGCCCCATCCCTTCCTGCCTGGAGGGGACAGGATCCTGGCCTGTGGGCCCAGATCGCCTCCTCCTCCTCTGCCCTGCTTCTAGCCCTAGTTTGGGGCTCCACCTCTGACAGGGAGGTTTCCTTTGCTGGAAGTCTCTCTGCCATGCCTCTGTGGCTCGGCTATGAGTCCTCTCCCTGCAGGAAGCCCAGTTCCCACCACCTGGGCTGCACTCAGGGGCCTACCTGGACTGCAGGTGCTCTAGCTGCACCTGCAGGTTCTCACTCTGCTCCGTCTGCTCATCCAGCGACCGCTGCAACTTGCGAGCCTGATTGTGGGCCTCGTCCAGCTGGGGGTGAGAAGGGCCAAGAGCAGGGGGTCACCCCGGGCTGTGGCAGCTGGCCTGCTGTTCAACTAGCAGCGGCCACTCCTACTGTTCCTCAGTGGGGCTGTCCTCCCCCAAGAGCAAGTCCTGTCTTTCTTTCAAGGCCCAGACCAAGGCCCACTTCCTTCAGGGAGGTCTCCCTTCTGCCTGTCTCCATTCCTGTTGCCCTTCTCTGCCAAATCTACTCATCCACCCATCCACCCACCACTCACCTGCCCATCTATTCTCATAAACTTGTTCATCTGACCATTCACCCATGGAAGTACTCATCTGTCCAAGGAGATACCAACCCATCCACTCACCATTCATTAATCTATTATGCTACCTGCCTACCCTGACCATCCATGTATCCCTGTACTCTCCCAGTGTCCACCCTGACCATCCATGTATCCTTCCACTCTCCCAGTGTCCACCCTGACCATCCAT